GACGCAGCTACCTGGCCAGACGCAGGGACAGGAGGAGACGCAGTGGTCAGTGTGTAGAGACTCGACCCCGGCCGACGCGAGAACGTGGCCAGGTGTCGGCCTGTGCGGGCGTCCGAGCAGTGGGTCACCCGCTGACTCGCAGGAGTAAACTGGTGAACCCCCGCATCCTGGAGGTCAGCACCACTCACCAAGTTCGTCGAGAACGAGGGGAGGTACAGACCAGACAAGGTGCCCGAGGGGGCAGCCGGACACGGGAGGACAGTGGAGAAGTGAGAGAGGACTGGACCCCCAGTGGGGTCAGCCAGGGAAACTGCAACCGGCCGGCCAAGCGGCGTGAGTGTGGTGCGGTCTCGAAAGAAGGAGCGAGAAGCCCCTGAGTCAAGCGTGAAGGTGAGGGAGGCCGAAGCCGACGCAGTACCTGAGAGCGCAGCCTCACCAGTACCTGAGAGTGCAGACGCACTGGCACCTAGAGCAGCAGCCTCAGAAGTACCTAGCGTAGCAGTACCAATGCCCGGGTCGGGCGGGAAACACCGGTAACAGTCACCCTCCTCACTAATAGTCACAGCATACATGGCAGCAAGGATAGCATCAAAGTCAAGATCAAAGATAGCTACGCCAGCCCTAGACAGCTCTCCCCAACGGGGAATCTCACTGGCCTCGGGGAACTGCTGACGCCAAGCGTCCGTCAGGCGGCCAAAGCAGCGCTGAGTGGGGTGCGCACCCCCACACTGCTCACCCGCGCGGTCACCGGAACGAAGGACGTAGGTGCACGGACCAAAACCCCCACCCCGCTGACGCTGCGTGTACCACTCACGGAGCTGCTGGGGCGGGGGGATGTCCCGCGAACGCTGCTGCTGCTGCTGCTGCTGCTGCTGCTGACGCTGGCCACCACTAGGGCCGCTACGCTGCGGGGCACCACCCCGACCAGCTCCACCCCCTCCGCCACCGCTGCCTCCACCTCCACCACCACCGCTGCCTCCGCTCCCACCGATGCCGCCACCACCGCCTCCTCCTCCGCTGCTGCCACCGCCACCACCGCCCCCGCCACCACTCCAACCGTCACCCCCACTCCCTCCTCCGCCTCCACCGCCTCCTCTACCGCCCCCGCCAGCTCCACCCGCGCCCTTGCCCCCCTTGCCCCTGCCAGGGCGGCGTCTCCCGCTAGGGGCAGACGCCGCGCAGACCGACTCAAGACCAAGCAGGTCGGCAGCAGCAGCAGAGGCAACAGAGGGCAGCAGGGGGGAAGGAGAGCACCCCTCAAAGATGGGGGTGCGAGGGTCACCACGAGAGGCTCCTACAGCGACGATGCTCTTCTCCGCCGCCAAGAGGGACTTCTCGAGGAGGTCGACAGTGAGAGTGGTGGGACAGACCGAGAGGTAGTGGTCCCTGACTACGCGAAGGGAGTCAGGGAGGCGTGTGACTATGTAATAGAGAGTGATGTACATGGGGGGGGGGTTCTTGGCGCAGAACTCAGCAGGAAGGGCGGCGCGGTAGCGAGTGTCACTAGTGCGGAGGTGCGTAATGAGGTCAGCGACAGTGGGAAAGGCAGTAAGGTCAGGAAAGAGGTACGGTAGCATGAGGCGGCTCAGGGCAGCAGTGGCAGGGGAAGAGTAGCGCGCAACTACAGCGTCGTACAAGGTCTGAGCACTCTTGTACTGACTAAAGTGCGCGCGCTCAGTGGTAGGCAGGTGGCGACGCACAGCAAGACGTGCAGCAGCATCGCGGGTGGCCCACTGAGAGCGAACAGTGGGGTCAGCATCAGTAGCAGGGGCAGGAGAGGCGCCAGAGGTGAGGTCAAAGAGGGAAAGACCGTCCGCCCTATCGCACTGTAAGAACAGCTGCAGGTCGTCGACCCAGACCTCAAAGTCAATGGCTCGACCCTCAGCGTCAAAAGCGAGGACACTAGGGGTAGCCATGACGACGACAGACGAGCAGTGCAAGCAGTAGGGGAAGGGCACGCAGTGACAGTGGGGCTGTGCTCACCGGACAGGGCAGGTCGGGCGGCTCGGCAGTAGGGCGGCTCGGCTGCTCAGCGGCTCGGCGGCAGGGCGGCTCGGCTGCTGGGCGGCTCGGCTGTTGGGCGGCTCGGCGGCAGTGCGGCTCGGCTCCCGGGCGGCTCGGCGGCAGGGCGGCTCGGCGGCAGGGCGGCTCGGCTCCCGGGCGGCTCGGCGGCAGGGCGGCTCGGCTCCCGGCGGTTCTGCTGCTAGGCGGCTCCCGCAGGTAGGGCGGCGGTAGGGCCGCAGGTAGGGCGGCGGGCGGGCCGTAGGTAGGGCGGCGGGGGGGGGCCGTAGGTAGGGCAGCGGGCTTGCCGCAGGTAGGGTGGCGGGCGGGCCGCAGGCAGGGCGGCGGTAGGGCCGCAAGTAGGGCGGCGGGCGGGCCGCAGTTAGGGCGGCGGGCGGGCCGCAGGTAGGGCGGCTGGCGGGCCGCAGGTAGGGCAGCGGGCGGGCCGCGACGTGAGGGCGGCGGGGCCGCTGTAGTGGGGCGGCGGGGCCGCTTAGCAGAGGGCGGCGGGGCCGCGTGAGCAGGGCGGCGGGGCCGCGTGAGCAGGGCGGCGGGGCCGCGAAGCAGAGGGCGGGCGGGCCGCGACGTGAGGGCGGCTGGGCCGCTGTAGCAGGGCGGCGGGGCCGCTTAGCAGAGGGCGGCGGGGCCGCGTGAGCAGGGCGGCGGGGCCGCGAAGCAGAGGGCGGCTGGGCCGCGCGAGCAGGGCGGCGGGGCCGCGAAGGAAGGGCGGCGGGGCCGCGTTAGTAGGGCGGCGAGGCCGCGAAGGAAGGGCGGCAGGGCCGCTTGAGCAGAGTGGCGGGGCCGCGAAGGGAGGGCGGCGGGGCCGCGAGGGGCGACACGGAGGGTCGCTAAAAAAAAAAAGGAAAACGCGCCTCGGGGCGCGCTTCGGTGGGCCCTAGAAGCAGTCCCTAGGAGGGGACCTGCTCTGATTCCATGTGAAATAAGAACGAGAATGTTTGAACTATGAATGAAGTGAGTACATATGGGAAACCCTAATTGGGTTGTACCCCTTATGGGATACCCCACTATAGCCTACACAACAGCATAAGCTATATAATGTTCTGACAAGTACAACAGTCAGAGTCACTGTAGAAATGCCTGTAAAACAGTTATAATAAGGGAATGTACCCCTTAGAGTACATGGCTAGACTATGACTATTTATATTCCTTGTATTCTATCTTTTAATCAACTTGGTCATTTACATTCACTATGATCTGAGTTCTTCCAAGACTTCCGCTACCAACTCTACCAAAGCACTTCCTATCCTGTCCAAGATCCTCACTCTAACACCTAATCCGTAGTCTAGCTCACGTTGCTAAAGTTATCTCCGCATAAAGAAGACGACATTCTACAATGATTCGTTCCTCGCCCTTACAATAATGATTTGAAATCTTTCACTTGCCGAGCAGCTATGAATTAGATCCTTAAGAATCGGTGGGCTACTACGCAGTTGTCCTAGGAGCAGGGTCGTCGCTATCAGAATTTGTTTTCTGATTGTCTGAGTTTTCAGGCAATTTTTTTTCCAGTTAGTCTGATTATCCAGTATTTCATTTAGACTTCATCTGATCGGTTAGTAATATTTTTTTTGTTTCATCTTATGCATCAGAAATGTATTTCTTTACTCATCTGAAACCGAATCATGTTATAGCCTACAGTTTTGAGCCTACAGTGTCATGATTGGCTGACTGACTGACCCGAAGGGCCCGTCTGACGCATCAGGTGCCTTCAAATTCTAGCGAGAATCCTGCTGAGGAGTAGCTGCTATGAATATATATGGCAACAGATTCATTGACGATGAGGCGACTTTCTAGCCACCTCACCATTGTGAAAATGGCCCCAAGGGAAATGGTTGGCCCTTTCAACCATTGAAAGAACCTGAGAGGATCAATTCAAGAAATGTGGGCAGTGACTTAGTGTCAAACCATATCTGTGCTAGTTGTGTGTAGGCTATAGTGGGGTAGCCCATGTGGGGTACAACCCAATATTAGGGTTAGTACTTGTACCCACAATTCGTTCAATGCAATTATTCCTGCTTGCTATCTTGACACTTACACATGACTTTTTTATTTTTTCAGCTACTCTTGATTACGTTTGGATGGTGACAATGCAAATTACTATTCTGTGCTCAATGCGCCATCTGGGAAGCCAACCTCATCGTAGATGAACACGAAGTCGACCAGCACAACGATAGATAAAACAGACGAGAAGATCATTCTCTAAACGAGCAAACAACGACCCTCTGCTGAGAAGGAAGGTGATGTTTGAGTTCCTTTACCCTCCAACTTTGCCTTGCCGTCGCTCTCACACTAGCGGAGCGATTGCCAATAATGGAGCTTCACTGTTTTCAAGCCACCAGTTACTGTACTACTGTTGTCAGCCGATTCAACAGGAACGCCAACCCTAACTGCTCGGGTCGCGTCGTTAAGCTACCTCTCTCACGCAATAAGTGGAAGTCGAAGCATCACGGGGTGCACATGAGTCAAATCGCCACGCACCAGCAGCCCTTGTCCGCGCTGCCATGGCCATAATGCATGGCGCGCTGCAGTGCTGCTGTGGCTCCCAGTGGTTCGTTCCCAGCCTCACACGAGGATCTTGGGGTGCATCGGGAACGCAATCGTTCCGTGAATGGGCTGGAGGGTACAGCAATCAGGGATGGAGCGTTGGTCGCTTGGCATTCTATGCACTTCTGCTGTTTAGATTTCAGTCGTTACGTGCAACTGACGTGTACCTGGTACCGATGGGCGGAAAGAAAACAGGCGCAGCACTGCTGCTGCAACGAGATTGTTACTTCCACCGACTCAAGCTCGCCCTCCCCTCGCCTGGGAGGCCCGAGTCCCCGAGGCCGCAACAGCTCTCGCAGCACCCCGTCTCTTCTGTTGCTCCTAACGTACCCCCGTACGGCCGGTCTGAATCGCTGGCTGCGGGTGGCCTTGAAGCGGTATAAAAACTGGACTTGGTAGCAGTGAGTAGCACGACAGCGACGTAGTGAGAAGCAAGGATGGCGGGCGCAATGCGATCCACGAGTCATTTTGCGATCACGGCAGCGGCACTGGTACGCCTCTCTCCTGCCGCGCGCCCCTGCATGCCCCGCTGTGCCTTGTCGCGCCCATCGGATTCCGCGCGCCTCCGCCACAGCGACGAGTGCCGCTAACTCGCCATCTTCCTCTGCCCCGCGTGCTCCTCTCCCTCCGCCGCCAGGTGCTTCTTTCCCTCTGCGCCGCAGCGGCGTGGCCGTGCGTGGCGGCCATGGACGGCGCGTATCGCCCTTTCCACAGGTGCGTGCGGCTCTGTACGCCTGCACTCGCCATGTTTCCTTCTTTCATGCTCAGCACTCAAGCGCCAAGTGTCATGGTAACTGTGTATGGGTAGGAACCAAGTGATGACTCCCGCCGTGAGGCATCCCCCCGCGTGACCGCCCCTTGTGCAGCGCTACCGGAGGCACGCCCCAGCTCACTCCGCAGCCCCGCCGTGCTGGCACTGGCAGCAGCAGGCGGCAACTGCAGGGCGTGGGGGGGGCGATCATGTACAAGAACAGTGGGCCGGTGATGTTTGCGAACGTGTCGGTGAACTTTATCTGGTACGGCGGGGCCATCGCGGAGGAGGCGAAGCAGGCCATGCGCAACTTCGTGCGCGGCCTCACCAACACCTCCGACCCTGCCAACACACGTCAGTCCATGAGTCGCCTGCCACCCACCAACATTTGGTGCCTTGAGAGTGTGTCGCAGGTAACCCTGTGGCCTAGTACCTGTGCAATAGTTGGCCCATTTATCTGTCCCTGCGTCTCCCCTTCGTGGCTTCCTCTTCCGCCCCTCCCCCCCGCGTGTGTGTGACGCGGGTGCAGTGCCGCTGTGGTGGAACATCAACCGGCGGTACACCAACAACATGCCGCGCAACGTGACGGGCAACATCACGCTGGGGCGCGAGCTGGTGGTGGCGGGCGGGGACCTCCCCACCTACAACGCCACGCTGAGCGTCGTGAGGGACGCCATCGCTGCGGGGCTGCTCAACCTGAGCGCCAACGAGATCACGTTCCTGGTGACCGCCAACACCATCGCACAGACGGGCACACGCAGCGACGCCACCAAGGCGTACTGCGTGGACTACTGCTCGTGGCACAGCTTCTTCGCGTACAACAGCACCAACATCAAATTCGTGTGGCTCGCCGACCCCACTGACAGCGTGCGTGCACCCCTGCGCCCACGATCCCTGCCATGCCCACCATCGCATCCATGCTCCACTTGCCATTGCCTCCCATGCTGCATCTTCCATGCGCTGCTCGCAACCAATCATTCTCTCCTCTGGCGCCCTGGCGTGCAGTGCAACCGGTGTGGGGCGCCAACCGAGGTGTTCAACTACTGGCAGGTGCCGCACGGCACGGCGCCGGTGGACGGGCTGGTGAACCAGGTGGCGTACCACATGGCCGCCACCACCACCAACTGGGACCTCAGGACCTGGTCCGACTCCAACTCCTACGAAAACGCTCAGAAGTGCTACGGCTGGTGTGTCATCTCACCCCTGCTCCTCACCCTCATCGCCCCTTGCCCTGCTCTGTGTTTTTATCACCTTGCGCCTAGCAGCTGACTTCACATTGTGTGCTGACGAGCGGTGTGGTGTGTGCGGCAGGTTTGGAGGGTACGAGGAGCTGCACGTGGAGGCGGCGAACCGCAGCATGGTGGCATGGAACCACCAGGGGCTCAACGGCGAGCGCTTCCTCATCCAGGGCAACTGGGACCGCACTCTCAACAACCGCTGCCTCCTCTCCGCTCCCTTCCCACCGCCTCCGCCTCCTCCCCCGTCTCCTCCTCCTCCTCCCTCTCCCCCACCATCCCCTCCCCCTCCTAGTCCTCCACCACCTTCTCCTCCTCCTCCCTCCCCACCCCCCTCTCCCCCCTCCCCACCACCATCTCCCCCTTCCCCTCCACCCCCTTCTCCTCCTCCTCCATCCCCCCCACCTTCTCCTCCTCCATCCCCCCCTCCTCCTTCTCCTCCTCCATCCCCCCCTCCTCCTTCTCCTCCTCCATCCCCCCCCACTCCGCCATCCCCCCCTCCTCCCAACCCATCGGTTGGGCGCCCCAACCCACCACCGCTCCCCCCGGTGGTGCCGCGTCCCATGTCTGACTTTGTCAAGTGGTTCCGCAAGCGCTTTGGCCGCGGGCCATCCCAGGGGTCTCCTCCAAGGCCCAAGCCAAAACTTGGACGCTCTGTGGGCCTACCTGCTTAGTGGTAGCCCGGTAGGGACTTATGGTTATGGATGGACGAGGAACAATTGCTGGGGCTGGTTCGTGTACACTACTGTTTGCATTGCATGTATGATGTTAAAATTGGGACGAATAAAATGTCATCATGTCAAGGACAAGCCTCAGTTTTGAATTTTCAACCCTTTCAAAAAGTCAGAGTCAGGCCTCTTGTATGAGGGTGATCGACCCTTATGACACTTACCGTAATCCCCCGCACAGGGCTCAGGTTTGCAGTGTAATTTACCCTTCTCCACTGATGAGAAGGGTGAGATTTTCAGTCTACACTGATGGGCTGGGGTATTTTTTTGGGGGATTAGTGTTACACTGATATGTCAGTGTAATGATTTAGGCCACACTGATGCTCTGGGGTAAAATTTTCCTTAGCGAAGATTACCCTGAAGAGCGTACAGGGAACCCCCCCCCCCCCCCCTTCGGAAACTCTACCTATCGAGATGGTTCTCCGAAATTTCATAACGGTACACCTAATTTCGTAATGATGCACTACGACGGCAGCACGTGAGTACTGACGACCGACACCGCGTCACTCCGTGTCTGCTTGCAACCTACACGAAGCAAAAACTGCAACCTGATTGGTCGAAGCTGCACTCACTGCAGGACTTCAATTCCCTCGACTCCACTCGATCGAGGTCCCCAAACACATGTTCCCCCCGGAAAGCCTGCTGACTCAGTGAAACCAGACAAACCACTGCGCTCGACTTTCACAACAACCCCCACCCACCAGTGCCCATCTTGCGCAATTTGGGCCTCCAGCTTGGTTGCTGCTAGCACCTACAGTACAATCAGGGTAAAAAAATATACCTACACTGATGCCTCTGGGTAAAGTTTTCAAAACTTCAAGTTACACTGATCCATCAGTGTTACAAAAAAAGACACACTGCTCAAAAGGGTTTTGAAAATGTCTACACTGCTAATCGTGAGTAGGTAAAAACCAAACCTGAGCCCTGCCCCCGCATAGTGTTAGAACAACTATGATGATAAGGTTTGGGGAAGGGGTACAAGTGAAGTGACGAGATGGGAAATGTACCCCCTAAGGCTAGAACCTATATAGCCTACCAGGGCTGACGCTATCAGACTATTTAGTCTAATTAGTCTGACGAATCAGACCTTGCACTTTGTGGAAAATGTATTTCCAGAGTAGTCCATTTTTCATCACTGAGTGCCTCAGACTTATTGTTTTTGGGCCCTTGATTCCATGTAATAAGCTTCAGACGTAGTCGTTTCTGGAGTCTGACTCTACAGAATATACATTCTGTGGTCCCCGAGGATATCGAGACGAAGTTTCTTAGAAATTTCTTCCCGATATACCCACCTTCGAATTGGCAGAGTGCTACCACGCGAGCAAAGTACACTTCACCAGCTGGGGATACCAAATACACCCTATCTGCGACAAAGACACGCAAATTAGATTGTTGCATGATTGGGGTAACCGTTGAAGTGTGAAATAGAAAAGGGCCAAAATACTCTTTTCTAGCGAATCGCTCAACGAATCGGAGAACTTTACAGACAATCGGGGGGAGGGGGGGGGGGGGGGGGGGGGGATATCTCCCCACGGGAAAATATCGCACTTTTTGGTACTGAAATCGGGTGTTCTCTGCGCTCAAACGTGTGATGTCGTCACTGTTTCGTAGGTTGAAGGTACTACCACGCGCGCCACCAAGTAACAGTTCGTGCCTACTGCCAGCTCATCTTTGCAGCCGCTCGGCCAGTTGGCACTTGCAAGCAAGGTAGGTCTCACAGTGCCAGGTACTGTACATACACAACAATCGCGCGCTGCTGCTGCAACAATCTGCCGAGTCACATGCCATTCACACCAGCCAGTCCAGAATGCCACCGACATGGGCCGGGTAGCGGCGCGCATGAGGAGGACTAACCCTGATGCGGACCCACCGACACTGACTTGTCAGACACGCTGACTTCAGAACACTGACCAATCAGAGTGCTTGATTTCTGGCCGAAGTGCCTTCAGAGTCGAAATTTTTTTTGGGGGTTGGAATCAGAGTGCCTAAATTTGAAACGTCAGCCCTGTAGCCTACAGATATAACTTGACATATAAGTTTTGACACACCCCCATAGCCGAAATGGGGGATAGCCAGAGCTAACAATGGTCACAAGACAAGTCAAGAAAAGCAAATAAAGCAAATCTCAGGGTGGATCTCAAGATCACCACGCATTCTGAGCACAAGCAAGCGGCCACAAGGCCAGTTCACATGCAGCGAATATAATAGCAATGGGAGTACACTGATCACAACCTAGCAAGGGCAAACATGCAGGTATAATCATGTACCGTATATTAGAGTACAACAAGTGCAAGGCAAGATCAAGAGACAAGCAAGTGAGGCAGAGTGGGCACAAGCCCAAGAGCTGTGCAGAAACGCTGATGATCACCAAACCCAAGGGCCTTGGTGAAGACATTAGAAGTGTTAGCCCGTGTGGCTACGTAAGCAAGACGAAGCTGACCACGCTGCTGCAGCTCTCGCGTGAGGAAGCAACGGAGAGCAATGTGCTTCGTTCTGTGCTCCAGTCTCTGGTCCTGGCACAAGGCAATCATGGCCTTGTTGTCGACGTAAAGAACTGGAGGAGAACGAGGCCCCTCACCCAAGTTGGTCAGCAGGTAGGTCAGCCAGCGGAGCTCCTGTGCAGCCATAGCCCCAGCGTAGATCTTGGCCTCACAGCTGGAACTAAGTGCAGAAGAAGAGCGAGTGGACCTTCACGAGACAGAACCCGCGCCAAGGCTGAAGCTGTACCCCTGTGTAGACCGGTGAGTCGTCTGGTCGTCAGCCCAAGGAACGTCTGAGTGACCGGTGAGAACAACAGGACCCCGTCCTCCAAGCACGAGCCCCATGCCCGATGTACTGCACAAGTAACGCAATACTCTCTTCGCAGCTTCCCAGTGCACCTTTCGGTGTCTACCGGGAGCCACGTAGCGAGCCCAGAAGGCTGAGAGGGTACGCGAGGTCAGGTCGTGTGCACATCATCGGGTACAAGAGGCAACCCACAAGCTCTGGGTACGGACCACTCGGCTCTACGGACTCGTCCGAAGGTGCATATGTGCGAGGATCTAGGATCGAGCTCAGAAAAGAGAATGTGAATTGAATTGATCACCTGGGTACAACACGAGGCTATATATAGGCTCGACACAAGGCCCCGTAACCAGGTGTTACGCGAAGGTTCCGCGGGTCGCGAAGCGTCCCGAACAGATCCTTCCCAAATTCGGTAGAAGGCAATTCGGTGGCAACCGAAAAGCCAGAATTCGGTGCACGCAACCTAGCTCGGTGCTATAACTATAATAAAATATAGGAAAGCACCTAGCCTAGGAAATCAAGCAATTCATGCATGCATATAATTTTCCTATGCTAGAAATAGCGTAATAAAGTAAAGGCAAGCAAGCATAGCTGGCATAAGCCGTCGTACTCTCACACGTCCCCCCCTCAAAGCTGGGTGGCGTGAGATACACCCTGCTTGACAAGATAGTCCTTGAGAGCACGGCGTGCGTTGCCCATATCAGCTTCTGCAACCCAACTGTCCTCAGTGGGGTCGTATCCCTTCCAGCGTATCAGGAACTCGAGGGTCCTGCCGCCGAGGCGCCGATGAGAGAGGACGCGCTCAATCTCGTACTCGGGTTCGTCCTGCACAAGAACAGGTGGAGGTGGCGGTAGCTGCCGTCCCTGGAACTGTTGGTTGGGGTCCTTGTAGGGTTTCAGTAGCTGCACATGGAAAACATTGTGAAGCTTCCACGTATCTGGTAAGCGCAAGCGGAATGTAACTGGTGTCACCTGTGCCTCAACGAGAAAAGGACCACAGAAGCGAGGCCGGAGTTTGGATGGGAGGTGAGACAGGTTCAAGTTGCGCGTGTCAAGAAGCACCTGATCTCCGACTGCTACTGAGTGATCACGTCGCTGACGATCGGCATACTGCTTTTGGGAGGTCTGCATCGTGGTGAGTCGTCGCTGAGTCTTCTCCCATAGCTGCTGCATGGTGGTGACGAAGTCATGTGCGGCTTGGACGTGTGCCGGTGTGGTAGGCTGCTGTGGTGTGAGTGGTTCCCGTCCGTAACACAGGAAGAAAGGAGTTTTCCCTGTGGCCGCATGTGACGCGTTGTTGTAAGCGAACTCTAGGGTCGGTAACTGTGTGTCCCAGTGGCTGACGTCGTCCTTGCAAGCTGTGCGCAGTAACTGTTCAACCACTTGATTGAGTCGCTCTGTCTGTCCGTCAGTCTGTGGGTGGTATGCTGAGGACATCGC